AATCAAGGTCAAACAATAAGAAATGCTATTGAATTTATTTCTTGAAATATTATGTATGCATTTGCGTGGTTTTGAATTTTATTAATTAAAAGTGATGAACGAACCATAAACGCAAGCAGCACAAAATGCTCAATGGTCATTTCATCACATCATCAATTATAGTTTTTTTTTTGGTCAATTCAGATGTTAGGTTCACGTTTAACTTTTTTAACTTTCAACTCAGTTAAAAAAGGCGATGAAATTTTCATTCAAGTCCCTTGTGTTGACAGAGAAGAAAACTGTTGCAATTGTGCTGTTATTTAATTACGAAATACACATTCAATGTAGCAGTATAAAAAAAATTGTTTTAAACATATCAAACTGTAAAATCACGCGGATGCAATAGTTTTAAATACGAATACGATCAAATTATTATTATTATGGAAAACTGTCATTAACAATGATAACTGTCCAAATCATAAATGCAGTAGCAAAGTAGCTAGTTTGCAGATGCAATGTGACATCACAACGTTCGTTCGTTTTTTTGTTCCTGTGTGCTCTTTCAGAGCTATAACTTTTTTTATAACCAAATCATTCTGGTTCTTCAGTTTGCTACAAACTTTTTGCTGTTGTTGATGTAAGTTTTACTTTGGTGCGCACACTGTGCGTTTATGCGCAAAGAGAGATCATTCAAACGTATAAATAATATTTTTTACGATGGTCGATCAATGCTTTTTTCTCTCTATCTTTTCCAAAGTTCAATTAATATAGGAGTAAAATGTTGCACAGTGATTTCCACATGCTGGAATTAAAATCCAGAAGGTAAGCAAAAAACAAACCGCCACTCAAACTTTAAATCGTGAGTGCAACGATTATCGCATTCTGCTTTCAAATCAATAAAATCGAAGTGAATAAAAAAAAAATGACGGAAGAAAGTTTTCGGGTCGTGTGAATAAATGGAAATCGAGTCAAACGAGAGATACAAAACGATTTCTCACAAAGGGACACGAATAAGAAAAATTGTGTCTATCGAACGCGCGTTGCAATATGTTGACATTGATTCCGGTGTTTAAAATATTTCGGCATTTTTTTTATTTCTCAAACTGAGAAAGAGTGTGATTTGCTCTGCAAAAAGACAAATAAAAAACAATTTTATGATTTTTTTCAATGGGCCATTCATCAAATCGACACACGAAGATCGTGAAAAAATTATGCTAATTATTGTTATATCGGTGAATCTTTGAAGTAATTAAGATGTTCACGATGTCTTAAAATGAAGCAGAAAAAACTCATAAAACATCACTCTCCTGTCAACACAATCCAATGCGATGCAGAGCGATGAAAAAATCAAAGCGATCACCAAATATGAATATTAGAAGGAAAATTAAATTTTTCTATTCGATATTTGAATAAACTGGCCATTTGCATAAATTGATTGTATGAACAGTCGCGTGAAAACAGCGTGTAGATCACGACAGCGGCAACGAAAAGAAGAATAAAAAAACACACAAACAGCTACCATTAAATTATAATATGACCAATCCGAAAATGAAAATATTCGTGGTTGGACGTTTTTGAGAGACAAGAGAACGCAAAAAATAAACAGAGTGACGGTTCGTAGAATTCATGAATTTATGATTTTCTAAATGTAAAACCAAATTCTGTCAAGGCGATCACATTTTGATGTTCAACACCAACGAATGATTCTAACACACAGAATCTTGCAGAATCTATTTATATTTAACTTCCTTCGGTTAAGCTGAACAAAACTTGATATCAGATGATAATTTAATATTATAATTAGCTTTGTGCAATTAACTTAACGCTTTTTTTAATTGGAAGTGCGATCAATTCTTCTTCTTTTCGAAAATGCAGTAAAAATGAATGTGTTATTGATCATTTGGATCAGTATTTCCGTTAATTTTATTTCTCTATAGTTGATTTGAATTCTTTTTATGCGATAAAACTCAACGACTGTACAGGTCATACAACAACGATATTTTCATTTGTTTCCAGTCGCCCGAGTGTTTGTTTTTAAATGATGTGAGCTGGCAAAGACAATTTTTCAAAAATTCATTGGTAATTATTAACTGTCACCCAAAATCGGCAGAACACGAATACTGCGCGGACCTATAACACGATCTCACTCGCCAATCCCAATGGTAATTTGTTAGTAATTTTTCATCTCTGCTTTTTTTTGGAAGAGAGATGTGTGTTTTTGACCTTACACACCACGAACAAATAAAACGACATCGACAACGATAAAATACACTTTGACCACATGAGATTAATATGAAAAAATGTATATTTTTGGTTTTTTTATACGATTTTTTTTTTTTGATACGAAAATGCTTAACAAATGTTTTTCCATTAGGTCTTTGGTTGTATAATTTAATGCACACAGACCATTGATAAAAAGAGGTCATACCAGTCGAAGTGAAAACGTTCATTTTGTATGAGTTGTATGTGATTGATTTTTGTGGCAGTGCCTACGATAGTTAAGTATATGTCGCAGAGACAGTGAGAAACGAATAAAATTTATTTTTTTTTACTTCGATAAATGATGCACACATTGTATATAAATACTTAATAGGCAAGCAATGTTGCGAACACAAAACCAATCGACCGGTATCACGCATACATCCAGCACAATAAGAATAAACGAACGTGATTTATTTAATTACAGCATACGTTATTGTTATCAGCCAAGGTAAAATTGGTCTGGAGCTCATCCTCATAAAGATTCGCATGCTTTCTTATCAAAAAACCAATTTGTACCATTAAAACAATAAATACAAAAAAAAAACAAAATACCACGAAACAATAAATTGCCATCGCTTCTTTTAAAAATAAATACACAAACCATGAACCGAGCCATTCACGTAAATATCGCCGTATTTTGCGGGTCAAACAGTTGCTGAATTTCAAATTCAATGGAACCAAAAATGTTACACAAGTTTTTATTTCAATGAAATGGCAGCAAAACAAAATTAGTGAGAGCGACAATGGTGTGATCGCCTCATCACAATGAACGATGAACATGACAATAATTTCAAAATCAAAATATTCACGATTTTTTTTGTGTCCCGACCCAAGCGATTGAGTTTATTTTTGTAAATTTTTGCTGGCGAAATTCATTGATTTGCATTTATATGTCATTAGATAACGCATATTCTGTCATAATGGAATGATACACAATCGAAAACAAAATACAACATTTTTTGTTGTCTTTGAACCAAGACCTGGCATACAAATAAAATTTAATCAATATCGACAAATCGTAAGAAGCCACATAAAATTGGTCAACTGTGTGCGGCTTTGCAAAATAAGTGACTCAGAAGAAGAATCGCGTTCGCCCAAGAATCATCACACACACCAAAATCAGAATGAGAGGAAAAAACAAAAAAACTATTAGCGATATTGTTCGTTAATAGTACACATCTTCTTTTGTCGTTTTTAATGATGAAATTATGCGGAATGACGAGATAAGATGAATTGATGCTTTTAAGCAAAACACGCCAACGACTGCATTTCCATGAAGAAAAAAATGAAGAGAGGAAGATAGAGAGAGTATCGAAAAAAACTCATGGAGACACAAACATCTTCGGAACCGTGCACACTCTCACTGATTCTCTTTTTCTCTTCACACACACACGCGCGCGCGCTCGCTTATGCTATGCTATTGTTTTGTTTCGTATCTCTGTTTTGTTTATTATTGAGCCAATGCACTTATTTCCATCAATTTTATGTCGTCGATAAATGGTTTATAACGCATTTTGTTTTATTTCATCGCCATTTGCCGTATATTGTTTTTTTTAAATTTAAAAGTAGTCTGACGTGTAGGCTGCTTTTTCCACAGACAATTTTTTGTCCATTAAAAATCGTTGCGAAAAATTAATTTCCAATAACAGAATCTTCTCAAATTCAGTGAAGATTCAGAAGAACTGAGATTTCCACTTGATTCGAAATGATTTGACTTATAGAAAACAATTTAAATTGAGAAGCTATTCAAATTGAGACTTATGACATAAACATAGCAGTATTTTCTTGTGTCGTAAAGCATAAAAGGTGACAACTAGTCGTCAAACCAGCGGCAATAAATTTAGTGGCACGAATCTTTCATTGAGTTAAACTAGTATTTGATTTTGTGAATAGATTTGAAAACAATTCCATTAAATTAGATCACGCATATTAAAAACCGTTCCAGCGCTGCGAATTTGACAAACAAAAAAAACGAATCTCTATTCAAAATCGAAGACAACAAATCAAAAATTCCATATTTCAAATACCATCATCATTTCTACTTTTCGATTGGACTTTGTTTTTATCTCTATTTCTTCTGCTTCATATATTTATCACTCGAACTCAGATGTTTCACGTTACCACGACATTCAACATTTAAATCAAAATATTTATTTGAACGAAGAAGAAGAAGAAGACCGAACAAAAAAAGTATCGCTAAACAACATTCCCGAGAGAAAACAAATTTGAATACGAATTTTGATAATTTTTTATGTGCTTGAATGTATGCGGTGTTCATTGTGTGTTAAAAACATGCATATACGTTTTTTAACGTTTTTTTTTTTTCATATTTCTTAATGTTATTGTTATTTCTTCTCTTCTTAACTTTTGTTGCCTCTTCACTTCTTTTGTATTTTCTCTCTTTCTCTATTTTCACGGCAGATAAAATTGCATTTATACAAATATCACACAATCATCGTCGGAATACATGGACTTATATTTATGCTTTGTCTCTTTCTATTTCTTTCGTTTTTTACTTTTGCATTTTGTCGGTCGTTTATTCCAGAGGCCTTTTTCTGCAGCGATACTTTTTTTCCGCAGTTTTTACTGAAGCGATGATGAATTTATGGTCTTTTTTTTGTGTGTGTCCAAAGCAAAAGGAAAGATTTAAAAATTTGTGAAAACTTTGCCAATAATTTCGAAGTGTAGAAGAATTTCGAAGAATATTTTTCAATAATTGGATATTTTTGGATCATAAAAGAGACACAATGAAAGCTTACCTCTTAAAAAAAGTGTTCCACTACTTTTTTGCACGAATTTTTTTGTTGACAAGCTTTGAAAATCTCGTTACAATTCCGTTTTGTTTGGTTAGCACTTGTCTGTCCGATTTCGTTTCTTTATTCACGTGCCGTGCCGTCCATTGGCCGTCGGTGTATGGTTTTTAAATTGTTTTCTACGGATCGATTTCTTTTTGCACAGTCAATTGATTTTCAAAATGTTCAGAACAAAATACTCAATGTTACAGATATATATTCAACGGCACTTTTTACTTAAAATTGCGAATGTCACAAGAATCAACCTCTAACAATTTTTTCTCATTGTAATGGGCGAAAAAAATGTGAACTTTTTTTCGTTGTGACTTAGTTTTGTTTTTTCAGTAAACACTTTTTTATTTATGCAATTGTGTATTATCGTCGTTTCGCTTAATTTTTCTTCTTTGGTTCTCCGGATACAATTTAAACCGAAAATCAGAGTATCAAACACAGATACAATGGAATTGATGATCGGAAAACAATGTGTTGTTAAACTTTAAGTACGCTAAACTACCAAATCAATCGTGTAGCACGTTCAAAGATTTTCATACGTATTTTACAATAAACAAAATGATATTTTTTTTTCAACAGAAAAAAATGCACATGACACAAGTTGTGGAGTGAGCTGCAGCGTGTGTATTCAACGCGAGACACGAATTCAAACTAAACTGCTGTGCATATTGTTGAATTACATTGTAGAAGAAGCAGAAGCAGTAGAAAATATGATGAAGCAACAATCAGCAAGAACATGAGAGAAAAGGAGAAAGAGAGTGAGCATCACGACACACGTACAGGGAACGAAACGTGTACGAAGAGAAGAGCCCGGGTATACGGACATTCTATGTATTTTGGTTGGCGTACGAATTTGATTTGTTCGTGTTGTGCGGTGCATGTGTGAGTGCTGTGTGAGTGAATAAGTAAATGTATTTTGTGATTACCATTGCTGAATGCTCGTTCGTTTGTCGCCTCACCGCGGAGATATTTGGTATGCGCATATAGATGTGCGTGTGAAACAGAGACAATGATAATACAGCCCGTGTGTGTGTGTATGTTCCAGGAGGTGTGTTGTCTCTTTCTCCGAACATTTTTACCATTACTTCGATCTTATTTTTATTCATTACATTGTTTAACACAATGATGTGTAACGAGTTGTGTATGGCTCAAATGCAAAATGATGGAAACGGTTTGACTCCATCCATACGATAAAACGGGACAAACATATATAGTTTCAAACCAAAATGATTTTTTTTTTCGTTGGATTTTGATTCTAACTTGCGAACGCTAAATTATTTTGGCACATTTGTTACTGTGTCGTTTTTTATATGGTAGATTTGTTTCGATTTTTCATTCTGGTTCTTTGTTAGTTTTTAGCCCACCAAATCGATTTCTTTTTTTTTATTAATATTTTCGCAATATATTGATAGTAGCTTCAATTTTGTTGGATAGTTTCGAGAGTGCTTATCGTCAAAATCATCTTTTTTGAATGTTTTTTTTTTTTTGCGAAGCTCTCTTTCTTTTCGCTTCGAACATATAAAAAGAGATCCTATCTCTAGAGAGAAATAATTGATATTACAGATTTCGAATCGGCTTAGTAATTGTGTAGCATAATGTTTATTCATTTTTTTTCTTCCTATTCTTGCGCCATACTATGTGCCATAGAACAGAGTCCAGAATTACTTTCGCAAATCATAAATTTTTGATAGCGTACACCGACCAACAAGCTCAGGTTCGTTTAATGCATGTTATTTTTGTATTCCATTTTTGTTGTCTTAAAACATTAAATACTACTACGCTTCGTACAGCAGAAACGACAACGAACAAACAATTATTAATAACGCTGCCGCGATACAAATTCAAGATTGGCTGTTGTTTGCTGCTTGATAGAGTTGTGTTTTATTCATGTGCGTTTGTATACGAATATGTAGAAAAATATCAAAATATCAGCGAGCATGCACGGGTATAACATAAAATGAGCAAGTAAGAGAGCGATCGGTAAAGAACGAGAGAAAAATTGTTAAAATAAGAGAGAATAAAAAATTGCGTAGCAACGCGTGGGATTGTTTGGAAACCCTTCAATATACAATACGTTGAAATGTTATCACAATGAGAATTGCACAGAAAAAAAGCATAGCAAATCTTTATTATAACTTTGCTGTTGTTATTTTTTTTTTGCATGCTCGTGTCTCTTAAACGTATCGGGTACTGCCTCGCATCGGGGACTTTTTTTATATCGTGGGCTGTATACAAACTACAACAACGATGAAGAAACCATGTATTTCTTTTCGTTGTATTTCTTCATTTCGTGATCATGTTCTTTTATTTTTTTTTATTCCACTGCTGCGTTCCTATGCCTCTTTAAGTTGTTGTGGATAGGCCACTCCCCGTCATATAATCGAAATCGAGTTTTTTGCGTTTAAAAACACCGAAATGGAAAACATCAACCGCGGGAGGAAAAATTTGAGTCGACAAATCAAAAAATGATGACTCTTTTAGTTGTTGAATCAAATGCTATTGAAAGAAAAAATTGTTAGTGATGGCGAGGCAATTACAATAATTTAATAATTTTTTATTGTCTTTATTGCTTTTTCAAAAAAAAATCATTCTAAATGAATTTAGCAACAGTGAATGAACAATTTTTTTTATCCACAGAGTATTTAGTTAAGATCGAAACATCTATTTGAAACTTTCGAATTATTCAATTATTATTCCAGAACCGTAAAACTTGTTATAAATACATTAATTGTGGAATTTCGGAGAGATATCTGGGTTAGGAGAACTTTAAATATAAAACTGATGATTCGTCAAATCCGAAAAATGTCTGATGACCCAGAAATACATGGTATTATTATGGAGAGTATTATATGCGTCTGGTTAATAAGGAACAAATGCCAGAGCAGCGAGCAAGAGAGAGATTTTCTTCATAAGTTCTTCCATGTAATGCCAACAAATCCGAATTAATTCTTCCAAAGTAGTGGCAACAAGTCGACGATGTATTCACTCTTTTGGCGCGCCACACTGACAAAGTGATCCGTACACTAATGACTGTATCAAATAGATTGCATCTCTCTCTCTCTTTCTCGCGCTATGGATTACTGCATTAAAAATCGATAAAAACTGAAATAATCCCTTTGAACAATAATCAAATCAAATACTCATCTCTGTGTCCCGCACGTCTCAGATTCATATACTAGGATCTACGTATTATTATCATCCATCAGAACGTCATCCGAAAATTCCAATTGGATGTGTCCGAACATTTTATCATTTCCCTGTCCGTCGTTTTCCAGCAAATAGTTTTTTTCCCCGGCTGTATTGCTGTTTAAATAAAACAAAAAATTCATTCTTAATTTTAAAATATATGAATCAAAGGTGATATATAGTAAAAGTTAATATTTCGTTGCACACGAAAAACGGCCATAAAGCAAACAATAGCCAAATATCCTCTGAATTATTTGGTAAGTTGACCGCAATCATAAACGAAAATGCATATATGAGTAAATCCAGAACGGAACAGTTCTTAAAAAGTAAAGTAACTACAATTAGTGCGAACAGCGCATGTCAATTGTTCTTCTCATATTGTTCTCTCTCTTTATTTTTTTTTCCTGACGTTCTGCAGTTCCAGCTAAAATGTAATTAGGTTTTATGGTTTATGGTGATCATTGTTGTTGTGTGCTATTTGCTGCTCGACGCTCAAGACAGATTGCAAGCTTGGTTGTCATATGTCTTTTCAGTTCTTTTTTTTATGGTTGCTTGTACATAGATGTTGATGAATTTGTGGTTTTAAAATACTTGGTAGCAATAACAATATGAAATTTATGGTCGATGTTTATTGAGAAAAATCACACAGAGAGTCATAAAAGTCAGTTTTGTCCCAATGATGGATGCTTCTGGATTGGACCTTGGAGACCAATCGAATGTACACACTACAAAGAAGAGGTAGAACATGGAAGAATATAAGTTTCGTGGAAAAAGAATTTGCATTTTCAAACAAAGAAATGAAATAGAAAGAGATGGTAGAGGAAAAAAAGCTACGTTATTGAGTGAGCGCTGTCATTAGCCACAACATATGAAGTGTCTTAAAGGACTTAAGCATTTTTAATTACTCAATCTATGCCTAAACATTTTGTTCCATATCGTAAGTATTATCATCATTTTTATTTCTTTATGAATTTTTCACAATTTGCATCAGATTTCAGATCAAATTACTCGCTTTAAATGCAAAATCAACAATCGAGGTAGATAAGTTTTGGTGGCGGATAATGTTAATTTCATGTTACATTTCATCTCACTAATTAGCTAAAATTTTGGAAATTTTCAGTAATTTCGACGAAATTTTCATTTTTTGGAGCATATTCCTAAAAATAAGGATGCCTGCTACTACTGCTGCTCGATTTGAATCTAAAACTTGCTGAAGCATACTTGCTTCCACGTACGTGTCAAATATCCAAAGTAAAGGAATTTGGCATTTGCATTTGTACAGACAATATCGATCGTCATATATGATAGTGTAAGTTCCTACCACACGAAATGATACGAAATTTGAAATATATTTGGTTTCAATAAAAATATTTTAATTTTTTTTCGGTAAAATGATGTTTTTAGAGATTTTTTGTTAAAACTTTATGGAAAAACATATATTTACCATTTTCATATTATTTTGGGACACTAAGATTTTTACATGTACAGCAATTGACTAGCGGAACAGAGACATCCAGTGAGTCAATGAGCTAGAGCGTGCAAGTGAGAAAGAGATTTTAATGTGTGGAAAGGCATGCGCAATACATACTACATACACAGATAAAAGACATTAGCGTGAACCATTTATCGATTCTCATCGAATTTCTTACGCATTATACATTATGTTTTCGACCAAATGCATTATCCCTCGTACCAGCCGTGTGTTGAATTGTTAAAACTAGAAGTGAAAAACAAACAAACACATTGCGATGAATGCAATCTAGCGAATAATAATCTGAACCGATATAATTGCAGCAAACAGTTTTTCTCTTCTTCTTCTTTTTTTATTCACAAAAAAATAAGTTTATTTCTTTTATTCAAGAAAATGTTGTTTCATTCAACGCCAACAAGAGAAATTGACTTGGAATAGAGCATTTTCACCGCTTCTCTTCTTTAAGACGAAAAAAGGTAGAAATATACTATAACTTATTGTATTATTCAAATCGAGAGTGAAATAAAATGCGTAATGTACCATTTAAATCGCATTTTTCGTGTTTACTTTTTTTTTCTCTCATGAACAAAGAGAATTTTTTGGCGTTATTAATGGGAAAAGGTAAGAATAAAATCAGAAAAAAACCTACACATCGGTCGAAATCGTTGAGGTAAAAGTAAACTATAACTGAAGAAAAAAGAATACACTTACATCAAACGCGCATCACTTTTTGACATTTCCGGTTGCATGGTTGATGATTGAATGGTAGCAGTTAAAGTAGAATAAAAAAAATTGAACAAGTTCAAATGGAACGTCTTTAATTTGAAAGATGTTCGGGGTCTATTCGATGTAAGTAGAAGTCTTTTCCGATGGAGGATTATTGTTTTGTGCCATTTGTTCGGGCATATGTTTTGTAACAGTATTCAACATTCTCTAATGCACGAAGTGTCCGAACACTTTTCGACAGTTCAGGATTA